CAACCAGCAATAAAAGTGGGCAGAACCAGAAAATAGGAGTTAAAACAGCATGATGAAATACTCTGGCAAATTAAGAAACCCCCACAAACTTTCTCCAACACCAAAAAATAAAATGAAAAATCAGACTGGGAGCATGCAAGCATTCCAATGTGGAGATGCCATAACCAAAACAAACCCTGCCTCTGGTCATCTTTGTCATGCACCCTGAACAGAAATGCTCATTAAGCCATTCAAAACCTTTGCTGTGGGAGGTGGAGAATCAGAAATATGGAAAATTAGACAACAACATTTGAACAAGGGAAAGTAGCCTCTGGAGGTCTGCAACCTTTCCTAATCCAGCCCATAGAAGAGGGAAGTAGATTTGAGCACTAAGTAAGTAGCTGTGGCTCTAAGGAGAAGAAAAGGTAAAGGTAAAGCGACCCCTGACCATTAGGTCCAGTCGTGACCGACTCTGGGGTTGCGGCGCTCATCTCTCTTTACTGGCCGAGGGAGCCGGCGTACAGCTTCCGGGTCATGTGGCCAGCAGGACTAAGCCGCTTCTGGCGAACCAGAGCAGCGCACGGAAACGCCGTTTACCTTCCCGCCGCAGCGGTACCTATTTATCTACTTGCACTTTGACGTGCTTTCGAACTGCTAGGTTGGCAGGAGCAGGGACCGAGCAACGGGAGCTCACCCCATCGCGGGGATTCGAACCGCCAACCTTCTGATTAGCAAGTCCTAGGCTCTGTGGTTTAACCCACAGTGCCACCCGCATCCCTGATCGGGAAAACTCAGGACACAGACATAGATACACACAAACTGCACACCAACCAGGACAGAGGAAGATAAACACATGAAAAACCACACTCTCAAACCTGAGGCAATATATTGAATCAAAAGAAAAGAAAATAACCCCCAAAGACAATCCTCTTAAGACAGTAAGTTGGACCCAGTCACATGGCAGGCGCACTGTGGAAGCCTCCGAGGCCATCAGAGCGGGTATGCAACACGCGGGACTCATGTGTTGGTAAAGCCAGGCCACAGCTTTCTATTGACTCCCGAGGCAAGTGCGGTTGACGTGGCACTGGGTGGGGATCTGTTAGCCCCGAAGACTTCCGATCTTAAGCCCGACGCACCGTCCCAGCTTGCTTGGTTGGGGAACGCTATGGGAGCTGACCAACAGAGCTGGGTCCCGCTGACAACCTGGGATGAGAGGCAACAGGCCCTGCCAAGGACAGGCTGAGGACAGGCATGCCTCCATGTTTTGATCCTACTCAATGCCATTTCTGCACAAGTTGTGGCAAACAGCTGTGTGTAACGCCTAGCAAGCACAGGCTGCCTACTGGGAGAAAGGCAAAAACCTCTCAACCAAAGGGGGCTGGTGGGAAGAGTTAAGAGTCAGCGCTGCGCTTGTGCACCAACGGAGCCAACGGAATGGTCCTGCACAGCACCAATGGCCCACTGCTTTGCCACTCCAGTGTCATGATGCCGTTGCAGGGAGACTATGGCACCGTCCTTCCCCACTGACCACAACTCTTTCAATAATCTGACAGGTGGTAGGCACAGCACGGCAAGAATTGGGGACGGGGGACAAAGTGATGCAAGAGGATTGTTTCTATCCATTAAACACTGCAATTTGGGTGATGAAAAATGAGGTTGCAAGTAGTTTTTTTCTTTGCTTTTCCATGTTTATGATACATGTATGTGGATAAATCATTTTTTAAAAATTGCAGTGCAGTCTGTAATATTTCTTTTGAAACACTTGTCAATACAAACATTGGTAAGAGGTGTACTGCTGGGGGCCTGCTCTCTAAAGCGGTCATAATCAAGTAATGCATACATAGGAAAACAGCAGGCCGGCCACACGGAATTAAGATAAAACGGACCAAGGTTTTTGAGCCAGCAATTGATGGATTCAGCATATCGGAAACAACAAAGTAACAACTTCTACCTATTTTATAGGTTCACCCCCAAACCAGCATTTTCTGCTCTGACTACATCAAAGTCTCTAATCATAAGATGTCAAGACTACTCCAAATTTGGGAAACTTACTGTGGATCAACAGCAAAGCCACAATCTGGTAACCTGGCCCCAATCCTGCAACTGAATCACTGCTGACCGTGGAAGGTGAAAGTGCCACTGGCAGAGATCCCTTTCCCACAGCCTTCCTCACCGTCAGGGCTGCCACCATGTACAAGAAGATCTCTGGATTGAGACCCACAGTGTGGGTGGGGAGAGGCTGGGTTGTATCGCACTAAGTCAAGCTCAGACTATATCCACTGAAAGGAATGGTTTTGAGTTAGTCAGAGTCATTATTTTCAATGGGTTAATTCAGAGTATGACTTAGCTGGATACAATTCTATGATGTGAACGGTATTTACATCACCTTCAGACAGCAATCCTAAAGTACCCTCAGACAGAAGTAGTGTACCTATTTAGATTAAGGGCAAGAAAACTGGCTATCCCCCCCCCCCGAGTCTCTTCCATCCTATTGTAAAAAACATTGGTGAAACCAAATTATCTACAATTCCATAATTGTATCTGCAGGATTAGACACTAGTAGACTTTTGAAATATTGTGACAGGGCCAACAAAATATTAGAATAATAAACTCACCAATTTTACCCCTGCCCTTCTTTGTATTTTTTGGTTTATACCTAGAACAAAGTCTCCACAACCACCAATGGGAAACAATGAAATTTAGATTTCCCCCATAAAATCTCACATATAAAGTTCAAGTGCAATTCAAAGTCCAAGTATTAGTTTATACTACACACTCCTTTATATCGTAACTCTTCTTTGCAGGTAGTTTCTTTGACCAGGTTCCTTCCTTGCTTAGAAGAAATCATTTTTCTCTTCTAGAAAAGGTGTAGAGATACGTTCTCTAAAACAAATGCTTTTCAAGAATAAACTAGTGCAGGAATAAATTTGGATCTTCAACTGGGTGTATTCTGGAATCCAAAATGATTTCTTCTTTGAAGTAAAAAAAAAATCCCATTCAAAATATTGGAGATTATAAAACATTATAGTTATTCTTCAATATACAATTTAAGATAAAGACTGCCAATGAGTCTTCAAAATAGCAAAAATGTTCCTACTGTTGAAGACAATACAATATTTGACAGGAAGGCAACAGAACAATTTTTTCTTTTGAAAAGCACTAGGAATCTATTTGTATGGTCGTAGAAATCTGGAAACTTTTGATCTCAGTAGCTTTATAAATGATCTTGGAAACATCTCCTTTGATTCTTGTGCTGTGTACTTGAAATAGTTTTGTGGATGTGCCAATACATCAAAAAGCGCTTTGATCAGTTTCTTGTCCTGTGGGAGACAAGAGACAGAGATAGCAAGCAGGGACAGAGAAAAAGAAAGAGAAAGCAAATGTATATTTTGCATGGCGCCCTCTGCTGAGCACATTGCCATTTTGTACTTCCCCTTTAGAAATTGCTTCTGGCTTCAAGATTCTGCTTTTTAGGAGTACTGCAATCACTTATGCACAGCGTTAGAGCTCAACAATGAAAGAAAAATAGCAGCTTGGACATTGCAATTTAAAGAAAAGGTTACTAACTTTTAAAATTTCTTGATGATTTTCTGATGCATATAGACGTCCATCTCTAACAATGTCTTCAATTAACTGTTGATAATCCTCTGAAAAGCAAGCAGCAAGAAGAACAAGTTAGCAACTTTTTACTACCAGATAACCTGACGGAAAGTCTCTAGGGTCCAGGGACTAGTGAGCAGCGCTCAGCTCAAGTTCACAGAAGGTTTTATATACCAGTCAGACTATCTTATTATCCTGAACTAAATTGTGTCTCCTGATCAAGCCTCCTTATTTGGTTCAACTCAACCTAAACACGTTGGACACGAGGCAAAGCATATTAGCTGGTGGGTAAGGGAAATAATAGACCAACCTTTTTATATACTCGCATAATTGTCCAGTCCAGGGGTCTGCAACCTTTAAGACAAAAAGAGCCACTTGGACCCGTTTCCGAAGAAAAAAAAACTGGGAGCCGCAAAACTCGTCATTATAAAAATAACTTTTTTGTCACTTTTTAAAATTATTTCTTTGTTTGACCCCTCAGAATTACTCCTCCTCATAAACGTTAAATTAACAAGTTACCTTTTTGTGTGTGTGTGTTTTTCACTCCCCTTCAAAACAGTGACCAGCGTACATGCCCCCTTTCAATGCAGTGACCAGCGTACATGCCCCTTACAATGTAGCGGGCGGGCGGGAAGGTGACGTCGGGACGGTGCATGCGACTAACGCACGCACCGCCCCCATGCAACGTCACAGCCAGTACAGCGCCCGCCACAGTGGGGAGTGTTGGGGTGCACAATGCGCCTCCTCCCCTCGCTAGTATCTGCCCCGGAGCTGCGGCAAAGGTGTAAAAGAGCGACATGCGGCTCCGGAGCCACGGGTTGCAGACCCCTGGTCCAGTTCAATGAGAACATAAGGAGGTTGGGGGAAGAGAGAAAACGTGTATGCAAGGTTGTGGGTCAACTCAGAAAATCAAAGTTATAGGTCAAAATCTCCTCTTTTGTGCAAGCTTCTCTGTTTTCCTTTTTTGGAATTAAATGTGGTTAGTGTTATGTTTAAATGAAGTTTATATTGAATAATATTTTGCAAACCAGTTCTGTCACAGTCACAAGGAGGAGGTCGAATGCTTTCAATTTCCTCATCATGTCCAAATCAGGGAAACCAGGTGAAGTTGGGCTTGTTCAACAAAGCCAGGATCGAAGCATTGTTTATGATTGGCCTTGTTAACAAACCATAGTTTAATCAGAATTCTCCTACTTCAAACATAATGGGAATCTCTGATTAGCTTTCGGTCTCATCTTTGTAGCTGTGCCAAAGGAGAAAGAGGAGTACATGAACCTGAAACTCAATCCCATAATAATAAACAGTGGTTTGGTGTTATATGAAAAAAAGGACCAATGAGATTTATCCAGATCATTTATTTATTATTTGTTAATTTTATATTCTGCCTTTCCACCAAATGCTGTTCAAGGTGGCTAACTACAATTTAAGTGGCTGGGATAGTTCAGTCAGCATGAGACTCTTAATTTCAGGATCGTGGGTTCGAGCCCCATGTTGAGAAAAAGATTCCTGCACTGCAGGGGGTTGGACTAGATGACCCTTGTGATCCCTTCCAACACTACAATTCTATGATTCTAAAGTACAATACAACACAAAGTTTAAAAAACCAAGACAGGTAAAACATCAATAAAAAACAACAATCATTACATATTTACAAATCACCTTATGGGCCAAAGGCATGTCTAACTGAAAATGTATTTGTGTGCTATAAAAAATAATCAGAGATGAGTCTAGTTGGGTCTTCTTTGGCAAGGAGTTCTTAACCCTGGGAGAAACCACCAGAAAGGTATTCTCAAGTTTCCACCCAACGTTTTGTATATATATAAAGGGGGGGGGGCATGTTTCTATGTAAATTGAGCCAATGTGTTGAATTTCATTTGCTTGCTATTAGAATTTATGACTTCACTATTAAAAGGTATGAAATCATTCCAATGCAGACCTAAAACCATTGAATCCAATCAATTCATACAATAACAATTTAACCAAAGCAAAAGTAGCTGAAAGGTTTTCAGTTGTTAGAAGAAGATATACTTATACCTTTATTAAATAATTACCGTATTTTTCGCCCTATAGGACGCACTCTTTCCCCTCCAAAAATGAAGGGGAAATGTGTGTGCGTCCTATGGGGCGAATGCAGAGCTTCGCTGAAGCCTGGAGAGTGAGAGGCGTCGGTGCGCACCGCCCCCTCTCGCTCTCCAGGCTTCAGGAAGCTATCTGCAAGCCTCGCGTGCCCGGCGGGAGGTCCCGCCGGGCGCGCAAGGCTTGCGGGCAGCAGCCTGCAGCCCGAAGCACGGGGCACGTTGCGTAGCACGCCCCGTGCTTCGGACAGATGTCGGGAAGCCCCACCGGGCGCGCGAGGCTTGGGGCGGCAGCCTGCAGCCCGAAGCACGGGGCGAGCTGTGGAGCCTGCCCCCTGCTTCGGGCAGATGTCCGCAAGCCTCGCGCGCCCTGCAGGAGGTCCCGCCAGGCGCGCAAGGCTTGGGGCGACAGCCTGTTCTGGGGGCTGGGATCGGGGGAAGCTCAGGCTTCCCCCGCGCCAGCCCCCGCGCCTGGGGGAAAAATAATTCCCCCCCTTTATTCCCCCCCCCAAAAAAACTAGGTGCGTCCTATGGGGCGAAAAATACAGTATGTATATAGCAGCATGGAAAATAATTAACTATAATAAAAACAAATGAATAAAGAAAAATAAATACAATTGCTGAAAAATACTGGAACAAATCAGAAAGAAAAAAAATGTTTGGCCAGCAATATGTTTAAACAGCAGAGGAAAGCCCCCGAAAATATGAGATTAATTTTTATCCTCTGTACTACTTTCCTGCATGTATTGTAGAGATGAGAAAGGGCAGAAGCCTCACCATCATATGTTACATAGGGGACTTGGAATCCTTTGCCACTGTTTCCTTCATTTGATTTGAACTGAATCCACAACTTTCGTGACCTGGAGGTGAATGCTATCGGTCTTTCATAGGTCTGGCAAGTTTCATATGTAGTAATAGATGTGGGTGAAGCTGCAAAAGAAAAACAAACATATAGCAGATTTTTTGGGAAAGGGTTAAACACCAGGCATTCCAAACGGTACAATTTTCAGTAGAGGAACACGTGAATCTGCCTTGTACCATTTGAGACCTTTGGGTCTTTCCACCAGTACCATTAGCTCCAACTGGTAGCAGCTCTGAGGTCTCTCCCAGCTCTCCTCCTTGAGATCATTTTGGCTGGATGTGTTGGAGACTGAACCTTGGACTTTCTTCATATAGACACATTCACTGTCACTGAGCTAAGACCCTTCCCCAATTAGAGATTAGCTCTCTAACCCACAGCCTGCCACCCTGAAGCTGATAAAGGTTGTAGAACTGATGGTAGGCCAAAGGCACTGGTACACATAAGACCAGATGACAACAATAATGAATATGCTCAACCCATACAGAACAGTCTCCTGTTGCAGTAGATGGTCAGGCCCCAAGCACATCCCCCCCCCGCCCCCAATGCGCATGCCAATTGCTCAACTGACAGACAATTTTACATGCCCCTCTTTGGGGATCCATTTGGAGCTGGGGTTGGGCAATGGTAATGCTATGCTTAGTGCATGGCTGAAATGCTATGAATTAGCAGGGAAATTTGTAACCGATAGTTCAATCTGAAAAGTTCTCATGGAGGTAATGTGGCAAGAAACAGTTCCAGGGAACACTCCGTTGGAATAGAAACCAGGAGCAGCTGCCATTTTAAAATATAACTGTGTAAGAGTATGTAGTTTAAATAACATTCTCGACTGCATACTCCAATTTCCTGTCTGCAGAATTTACTGAGTTTAAATAGCAAATATCAGCGCCAGCTCTCCGTGCAACCAAGTTGCAAGTAGCCACCATGTAGCACTGAAATAGGTTCAGTTCACTTCTGGCTTAGTTATGAATGTACATTCTCACTAGAGTTGTACCTTGGAAGTCAAACGGAATCCGTTCTGGAAGTCCGTTTGACTTCCAAAATGTTCGGAAACCAAAGTGCGGCTTCTGTTTGGCTGCAGGAAGCTCCTGCAGCCAATTGGAAGCCGCGGAAGCCCCCGCTGGACGTTTGGCTTCCAAAAATAGTTCACAAACTGGAACACTCACTTCCGAGTTTGAGGTGTTCAGGAGCCAAAACGTTTGAGAACTAAGCTATTAAAAAACCAAGGTATGACTGTACGTGTTTTCATGCCTTTTCTAGGACAGCAGAACAACTTACCACTTTTCCTCATTACTAAAACATCACCACACTCGTCTTCAATAGGAAGAAATATCTCAGGGACCACTATGAGAATCCGCCTCTTTGGGGGTGGGCTTATATTCCAAATACATTCAACATTTGCTGGGTAATCTCCCGGGTAGTTGGGAGACTCAATGTAGCCAGTGTAGTCTCCAAGTTCTCCACCACACTGTCGATCTACAGGGGAAGGAAAGGTAAGAAACTGAGTTATGGACTCTGTGAGCTGCCTAATTAATTTTTCAATGTCCTATTTTTAAAATGGGAATTTTTATAACCTACCTCATAAGCCTGCTCTGAGAATGAAAAAGACGAAGATCGTAACTCACTTTGCATATTAATAAGTGCCTCATAAATTATTATGAACAACAACAACAACTACAGCAACTTATCTGAGTGACTTTGTGATCTGGATCTCAAAAGTACAAATCTGCCTATGCTATCATCTGAAAGCCTTTATCTTTCTGTGTCCAGATATAGATATATAGACAGGTAATCCACACATATGCACAAAGAGGACTGCAATGTTTCAGTTTTAAACACTCCAGGCTTCAGACTAGGGACCCACAAGTGCCATCCATCAGGCTAAATTGGGTCCTTCAGACTGCCATCAAAGGGCAGCAAGGGGGATTTATGGGGCGAAGCCGCCTTGAGATGTGCCAGCAGTCTACTCTGAAGGGGTTGGAGGCCATTCCTCAGTGTTTTCCAATAAAGCTAATTTCTGACCAGATATGTAGATTGGTTGAAACTAGTGATCTGTTTAAATTCTGTGTTTTGCCCCTATCATGTAGGGGCAGCTCCAAAAAAGCAGACTTTCAGGTTTCCTAAATTATGTGTGATTAGTTTGTCACCAGACTGTAAAAAAAAAAATCAAATCAAAATCAAAATCTTCCAGACAGACTATGACTATATGACCAGGCTTAAGCACTGGCAGTTTATAGACTGCAGCTGTTCACAAGGAAATATGACTTACTTTTGCAGTGTGTAATATTAGTAGAGCCATCAAAATCAGTGCTAGTATTTCCAGGGCAGGTGATGCAATAGTTCTGACCAAATTCAGGCTGATAAGTTCCAACAGGACATCTGATACATCTGTGGGTTGTAGAGTTGTAGTAGTGGCCAGGAGAACAATGAACTGTGTAGTATAAAGGCATGTTATATTTTTTCAATATATTACAGGTGAAGACACAAAGAATGGATGATGCACTAGATATGTTAGGGTAGGACTACATGCTGCATATAAGGAGCAGAGGGGTCTTGTCAAAAACAGCAGAACCATTTGAGTTCCCCCTGCATCACCTTAAGTCACAGCATCATTTGCAAGAAGAGTTTCCTGGTTAGCTGCTGGCAGTGAGCGCAGGGAGGAACAAACCAAAATGAAACCTGGACACAAGGCAAGTGGAACTGCAGGTGCCATTTTGACAAACTCCTTGCATTTCTTATGAATCCATCTGAACTAAAAGTTTTAGTCTTCTTACTTCTGTTGACCCATTTTTTTGGCTGCTGCTTTTATAGAGTTGCTGTGGAGGAGTTAAGATAAGGGCAACCAGATAACAGTATTGCTTAGGGAAGTAAACTAGCTTAGGAGGGAAGATACTGCCTCAAAGATATAATAACTTGTGAGCAAGCACTGAACAATGCCTGTTTACCATCCAACACACTGAGGTTTAATATCCAGTCTGCTAATTTATTGTTGTAAATAAGTTTCCTTCACCTTGAAAATAAAATCTTGTCTTATGCCTACAGGTTAACCTGGCTGTTACAGAGAAAACAGAGATTTTACCAGGAATGATTGGTGGCTGAGGAAGGTAAGCGATAAAGGCAGCAGTTTCATTCACCACAAAAGGTTACACAGAGGATTTTTAAAAATAATAAATATTTTATATATATATATAGTGACAGGAGTAATATTTTACATGTACTTTAATATGTTAGATTTTGAGAGGGATTAGTTGAAGGAAAATAAATTAAAAATGGTAGTGTGAAAGAAAAATGCCAGGTGGCATTAGGGCAAAACCCTCAAATAACATCTGTTTGTGTATACAATGGGAAAGAGGGTCTTTGACCAAATCCTGGGCATGAATGGAAAATAAAGTCCGGGGGAATGGCTATATTTAGGATGAGAAGCTCAAGAGGGGCAGACTGAGCTCCCAGAAACCCAGCTGCCTATGTCAACTTTAAAACATACCTTTTGTTTCACAGTCCTGAAACGACATTGCGCCTTCGTATTTTGTCACCAGTCCCCCGCCACACGGAAAACAGAGGGTC